TTGCTGTTCGTCACCGAAGACAAATTCCTTGTATATATTTTATACTTGGTCATTAAGGTATCGTGTATCTTGTAATAGTATGGAGAAGCAGTCCTGCACCACTAAGTGGCAGCATAATGGCATGGATAGACAAACAGGGTGATTTTGTTCAAGGGAAAATACTTCACTAAGCACAATCCTACCCACACACCCCTGTGTTTTCTTAGGATATTCCCATAGATGTGTAGATTGAAATTTTTAACCCCTAAAGTTTGTGTATGGACATACTCTCTTTTTACTCCCCATCAACAGAGGTGGTATAGGCAGTCCCCAGGTTAAGAATGAGTTCTGTTCCTAAGCCTGTCTTTAACTTGAATTTGTATGTAAGTTGGAACTTGTACTTACAAACAGGCTGCCTATTGCTAGAAATGGCGGACGGCACTCTCCTTCCTCGAGCTGATGAACTGCTGAAGCCATGCAATGTTTTCATGAACCTCTGAAAACAGGCTGTATATTAAAAACACACGGCTTCAGCAGTTCATGAAAATAATGTGTGGCTTCAGTGGTTTGTCGGCTCAAAGAAGGAGAATGCTGTCTGCCATTTTTAGTAATAGGCAGCCCATTCATAAGTACGAGTTGTTCGTAAGTTGGATGTTCTTAACCTGGGGACTCCGTATTTCAAATGGAATAAATTGGTGTAATGTTAAGGTATGATGGAAGGTATGATAGAAGACTGAGTCCTATTTGCATGCTTAATATTTATTATATAAATTAAATGCCGTATTTAGCAACAGGGCATTTTTTCAGATAAGGTTGACTGGTAACCAGAGATGGTAATGGGTTAAATTTCCCCAGAGAGCCCTGTTTTGATGTCACTTCAGTATCAGGCAGAAACCTTTTTCCAGGCTCTAAAATTCTCTGTGTATTCAATTTATGGTTGTTGTTGTTTTTGGTTATTAAATCTGTTGGATGGTTTATACTGCTTTTAATGTTGATGTCTTTGCTTTAATCTGCTTTATTGTAATTGTCATACTTTGTAAGCCATTCTGGGAACCTTTAAAGGGCAGGAAGGATATGCAGCAATTCAAATAAATCAGTAAAATAAATCTACTGTAACAGAATTAATTTTGTCTTCACAATGTTGACTTCAGTGTTCAAATTAACCATTCCATTTCAAGATGTTGTGAATAGCTGTTAGATAATGCTAGCTATTTTATTGCTTTTAGCTGAGTTTCTATAAGATTCCTAAAAATGCAGGTTTCTAACTGATCTAATAGGCTACTCAAGGTAAATTCTGATCTAATAAACTGGTCAAAATGAATTCTGTGAATTTATTTTACTAAGATCAACTGGTGCTTTCTTTTCAATCTGATGTGCTCTTGCAATGGAATCCTATACAGTAAATGTCTATTTAGAGGCGAGTCCCATTTGGTTTAGTGCAGCATGATCTTAGGTCAGTGGATGTCTGACCTTAGACCAAATGCTAAACTTCTGGTTCCATCTTCACACTGTTTAACAGAAGGGCTGTTTTGTTGTTTGTTGGCTATGCTTACAATATAAGACACCTCTGAAGAGTGGCAAGACTATTATCCAGAGTAGGTGTTTGGAACTTCTACAGTGTTCTTACAGGCAGAGTCATCTGAGGAGTACAAGAAGAAAC